ACTCCTCGGAAGGAAGGTTGGGCAATCCTACTTCCGTAGTGATACTGCCTCGGAAACCCAAGGAGGGGTCGCTAAGAGTCAGGGCCTACTCGACGGCAAACAACAACAACACAATCTTTATGAAAGCAGATTGCCAGGTCTTTTCTCCCATGGAGCCACTGGTGGGTTCAAACCAACAACCTTTGAGTTAGCAGCCTAGTGCCACTTCATATTAAATAGGCATTATTTATACTAAAGTGTAAAGTGGCACTAGGCTGCTAACTGAAAGGTACTTTAGTATAAAGTGAGGGCTCAGTAAGCATTGGTGATGACACAACTGTAATTACTAAAATGAAGGTAGGTGACTTTATAATGATCAATAAAAAGCACACTGGATGTAGTCTTAGGAAAAAAAGATGTTTATTGAAATGGCATGTAGATAAATTATTGTCAGCATAAAACTGTTAGTGGAGTTTTCAACATGGGTTCTTTTTACTCTTAAAATGAAGTGAGATTTTGCAAGTCCATTGTCCCATAGGAAAAATATTCTATTTCTCTGTTCAGATAAAGTCCTTTAAAAAAGCAAACCACGTTTCAAACGGTCTTTTAAACGTCTCCAGCCTATGACCAAAAAAGAAAATATATGAAAAATATATATTCTCTCCATTCAACAAGAAGAATTAAAGTGAATGATTTAGGGGCAATAAACATGGAAGAAATACTTAGGATTTGAAATTTTTAAATTTACTTCTCTTTTATTAATATCTACTGAAGTATTTAACAACCAACAACAACAACAAAAATATCAATATGAAATCTTTGGAATGCAAAACATAACAGTAGTTTTATTGTTATATGTTTAGGAAATTAACTAAATTATTATTTCCTCAAATAAACAATTTTAAAATAACCCTTAGTTCAATAATTGGGAAATACTGTACAAAGTGACTTTTAATTTTCACTTAAGGTTATATAACCTTAATGGAAGGCTAAAAATGATAAATATAGTAAAAGAAAATAGGAAAAAAAAATCAGAAAGTTTTCTGAAACTTTGTGAGTCAACAGAAACTAGATGCTACTTATTCTCTACAAATAATTCCCAGTGTAAAATGATTTAGTCGTATTCTATTTCCACACTGTGCTCGGGTCCAACCTGTTTGGCTCCCCCCAAGTGATGTTGCTGTCCTTCTCCAATGGCAATTCTGTTGAGTGGGATTAGCTTCATGGTGGTTTTCTTCATGGAATACCACCGTGATTTCCAGGTGGCCCAAATAATGCCATTGTCATAACCATTAGGAGTAGATGCTTTTGAGTAAGTGCCACCTAAAAAAAAAAAAAAAAATTGCAGATGTACACATTATTGCTCTTAAACTTCCTAACCTCATTAAGCCTGTAAAGAACTGTCTGTTATGGAATCCATCACTTAACATAAAATTTATAGTGTTATCTACCAACTAAAAATATTCCTAAAGATTTCTAAAATATCAATTCACAATTGAAATAAATTCATTATTAAATGATATCTTACACCTGAGTTGTGCTGCATGATCACTTCCATACTTTAATTTTATTCACTAGTAAAGGCTAGAGCTCCAAAGGTCCCCAAATGGTCTTTCTCCCTAAGTTAACCACGCTAGACTTAACAATTGCAGAACAGCTTTCCTAGGCAAGCCAGAATGGCAGGAGCTACAAGATTCCTGTTCAAATGGTCTCAATTTAGCTGAAAAGTTTTACCAGACAGTTGGAACAAGTATGAGGAACTTTAGAAAAATGGAATTTTACTTTAAATCAGCATTATAAATTGAAGTTTAGTTTACTTTGCCTTCTCCTAGTCACTGAGCACCATATCACATGTAATTTTGTAAGGGTTGTCTAACTCCAACACTAGAATTACTATCCACATGGCTACTCTGGGTCATATGGATTAAGCACCTTCCCTGAAAGCGTCTTCTAATCATGGGGTTTATAGATGGAAAGGTAAGTTAGGCGTTTCAAAAAGAGAAATTGTTTTTTTTAAACCCAAAGATAAATTTAAATAGTCTTTGACAGATCCCAAGTTTACTATCAGCTAGGATATTGACCTGAGGAGGAACAGTTGCTCATCTGTAGCTGAGATGAGTAGCCATACTATATAATTCTTAATGGATCCTTTAACATCAATAAAGCCTTCCACACAAAAGTGTTGGATGGTAAGTAAAATCAGTCTTCACAAACACTTCCACCTTATAGTAAGCTATAGACTGACTATTCCCATCCTAAAATAAGTGTCTGAGCTCCCCTGGCTAGATTCTTCTCCTTTCAAACTTCCATGGATCCTCACCCTTACTAGTAGTTTCCCTACAGTTTAATCTACTCTTCCCAACACCTGCTCACTGATTATATCTGATACATAGCTCCTGGGAAGCTGAGCCAGGCCAATGTGTTTATAAGCATTAATGTGATAATGTTAGTCCATCCAGTTAATATTTAAGTTATGTCCAAAGGTGATACCTTAACCTAATGTGCCAATCTTATAGTGGCACGTTCAGGCACAATGACAAATCACAGAATATTTTTCAGCAGATAGGTTTTTTGTACAGGGATCTATTTTAGATATAAGCTTGTTATGTCCATTGCTGGTGTCAAATGAAGAACTATATGGTAAAAGCTCCAATATCATTACTAATTATTTCTTTATATCTACTTATACCTTTTGCAAAAACATGAATTATATACTAATTCATAAATCCAAGAGAGACAAAAATACCTTGGTAATAAATTCCATTGAGGTGGCCAGCATGGCACTTGTTCATCCACCAACCAGATCCATCCTGTTCAGCACAGTTGCCTTCAAACTTATCATTGTCATTGTCCCAGGTACTGAACTGCATGCCATTGTGGGAGGTGAAATATTTGTCACTTGGATCATCACCAAAATCATAGCCATCAAAGGCATCTCCGGCATCTCCACCAAGGAAGTATGTATATGTCAGGCGATATTTGTCAGCTTCAGCTCCCACCCTGAATGTAGCATAGTCTGCAGTACTGTGAAGAAGAGAACAGAGATACTGATATTGTGAGCCTCATCAAGGAACTCAGAAGTTCTTTCTCCCATAAGACAGTTGTTTGGAGTTTCTAACTTTGCCTCATTACAATGTAATGTGCTCAGTGAAGTTTTCTGCGAATCTAGGAGAAGGCAATGATTGTTTGAACCAGTTCGCATCTCACTAACACCTAGGTTGGGTCTAGATTTCAAGACAGTATCCCAATGGAAGCTGAAAATTTTACTCATTCGTCTGTAAGACTCTAATAACAAATCAAGGTGCTTGGATGAATCTGCTAAATTCTACACTTGCCTCTTTTACTTAAATGTTTAGCATCATACATACAGCCTTCAAAGACTGGAGCAATTAGCTAACAGTGAATGACCATTAATAATTGTACCAAGCTGGAAAGAACAACTGCACCTTTAGCCACTCATAACACCTCCAGGGGGAAGTCACAAAGGAATTTTTTCCCAAGTCAGTATGGTAATCATAGGAAAAAGGGCTTCCAAGAGTAGCACAGAAAAGAAGTGGTTTTCACAACATGAGCTGTGAGAGTTCAAGTGAGAATTTCCACTAGAAAAATTTGTAAAAGAGGGTCAGAATTTTATAGAATAGAGAAGAATGGGTAATGGCACATGAACAGAGATTTCCAGGAAATGTTTATCTTCTTTCTTAATCTCTAGCACTTGGGAAATGGAAGATGTTCTCACAGAAGAAGATCTACTGCCTATAGTATTATTTCTGACTTTTTAAAATTTTATTAAAAGATAGCTGTTTAGAGAAAGAACTCTTTTGTTATTCTATAGACATAACAAGAGGATTGGATTTTTTTTCTGCATTTATGGGTGTGAAATGCTCCAAGTTCGCAGATACCTCTGAATATAAAGTGGGCTCTATGCCCCCAAAGGAGCTACCTGACTTAATATTAAGGTTTTTATAGACTTGACTGAATCATTGGACATTGAAGCACAGGAAAATCTGAAGTCTGAGTTAGCTTTTCAGTCAGGATAGTGAAACCTGAGTTCAAATCCCCTGTACCATTTACCAGCAATGTGACCTTGGGCAAATTAGTCAGCAAAATGGGATTATTAATAGGACATGACTCATAAAATAGTTATTTGATATGAATTACCTGAAAATTTCATGTTCTATTTCTAGTATGTATAAAAAGCTCAGTAAATATTAGCTATTATTCTAAATGGTTCTTGAGTGAGCTCAGAAATAGTAAATGGAACCAAAATAGACCCATCCTGGATAGAATCTACCCCTTAGAGATTGCCCAAGAACCAAATTAGCTCCTGAGGAAAATGGTTGGATGTGCTGTTTGCATTTTCCAGGCTATCTTTGCCATTGAAATGCACATTCCAGATGGAATGGAAAATGCACATTCCCATTCTACAATTAAAAGTTAGAAGTCCATCCTAAACGTTACCTGGTTCTGCCATTCCAGTCTTCTAATTGCACTCTTAATGCATATGGAATGACAGACTGTGTAGTTATCAAATGAGTCTTCTCATTTCCCAGCCAAAACTCTGTAGTGCCAGTAGGAGACAGATGTCCAAACCCTTCTTTATATTGAATCCAATTTTTCTTGAAATCCACACTGCCATCAAGTCTCTAATTGCAGAAGTGGATGGGCAAAAGGAGAACAATGATAATCAATAAATGTAAGGAAAACATTATAAATATTTTGTGGAAAATATGGAATGTAAGATACTATCATCTATTAACTAAGTGCTCTTGGGCCACCTGCCTGAGTTTCCTCATCTGTCGTTATGACGCTTACTTCTTAGTGTTGCTGTAAGTATTATGTAAGAGAATGTAAGAGGACTACTTAAAAGAGTGCCTGATCCATGGCAGTTTTAAGGAGCTCTGGTAGTGTAGCGATTAAGACATTTGACTGCTAACCAGAAGGCTGGCGGTTCAAACACACCAGCCACTTTTCGGAAAGAAGATTGGGCAGTCTACTTCTGAAGTGATATTGCCTCGGAAACCCAAGGAGGGGGTCTCTGTGAGTCGGATTCAACTCTGAGAGATTTTTGAGTTTAGAGAACTTAAGACTCAAGCTCGGTATTGCTGATTCTTGTACTGAAGGCGAAATGGTCAGGTCTTTGTTCAATCTGTCCATCAGCCAGTTCTCCCACCACTCACTCCTTCCCTGAGACTCCCTGCAGGAGTAGTTGTAGTAGTGGTAGAAGGCAAACTGAAGGTAAGGGATCCAGGATCATAGGGGGTATCAGTGGCTGGCAGAGGCAAAAGAGCTCCTTTGTCTCAGAGCAGCACAACTAGGGCCATCACCTGGGAAGACTCAGGTCTTGAAAACCTGACAAAAAGAGATCACTTGTATTTCTGTGTCACATGGTACTTTGATTATGCTCTGTCAAGAAACTACAACAGCAGTGCTAGCATGAGATAGAGTCAAAACCTACACTCTGGGACCAGACTGCCTGGATTCAAATCCTGACTGCCATTTATTAGTTGTGTGATCTTGGTCAAGTTATTAACTACTCTGCCTCTGTAAATAGGGGTAATGATAGTTACCTCATAAGGACTCTGTGAAAGGTGAAATGAATTAGTGTTTACGGGTACTTAGGAAAGTGTCTTGCGTGTGGCAGAAACAATGTGGGTGTTTAAATGACACAAATGATGAGGAAAAGTGTACCTTCTGAATCACAGTCCACCCATTTCCAGATTCATCAATTTCACAGTAGACTAAGAACTGCTGCTTCGCTTTCAGTGGCTTGATAAAGTAAAGCCCACTCTCTTTAGCTCCTTTGTTAGCAACATCTTGACAATCTGAAGGAGAGGAAGAAACTTTCACTGTGCTTTGAATTCCAGGTAAGAGTGTGCCAGCTTGAAAATGAGTTTTTAATATGCTGCAAACCATCTCTTATGTAAGAAAGTATTATATTACTTCCTGCATCATCATTTCTTTCAAACTATTTTTAACCATTCAACAAAAAAACAAGAAATTGGAATCTTTAGATTTAATGTCAAGACATCTTCCAAATTATTTTCATATATTTCAATATATGTAATCTTTACTTTGCATATTTGCTCTGGTGAACATGATTCCAATATAAACCTTTTACTTACCTTTCCCAGTCACATCGTGTATTTGGACTGTATCTTTGCAGGGTTCCTGACACTGTGCTTCAAGCTGGGCTACCTTCTGTTTCAGGTTCATAATCTTTTGATTATTTGTATTATACATCTCCTGCAAAAATCTGTAAGAAGAATAAGGTAACAGAATACTTGGCTTTGGAAGAGTACTTTTTTTTTTTGTATATTCTTAAAAAAAATACTTCTTATCTTTTTAATAATTACTTCCTGATACATTATTTTAATGACTCCATCTTTGGGAAAATGGCAAAAGTATGCAAACAGACTGAAGTAAATAAAAATTCTAAGCTTTTTTGAAAAAATAAAAAAAAACAGAATAGTTTGATCAAACCAGGAATACAATTTTGACCTGAATCTTTCCACGTAGAATGAGAGTACTAGTCTCAAATCTGAAAAAAAAAAAGAGTTCTTGTCAATAAATAATTAGCATTCAGAAATTCAGGTCGATCTACTGAAATTCAGGTCAAAATTGGAATCCATTTATGGGCTTCAATCTTACATGGGAAAATTATCTGGGATATAATCTTACATAAAATAAAACAACAGACATTTTCCATTTCTTCTTTATGTTTCTATTCACATAGCTTCAGAAAAGGTCAGGGGAAAGTTAAAACTTTGCTTTCATACTTTCTCATAGAGTTGCTTGTTTATATTAAAAAATGATAGAAAACTATCTACAATGTGTAAACAGCTATCTTTCTTAGTGTTAAAGAAAGAGAGACTATTTATTTCCCCCTTTACTATACCCTAGGAAGAAGCTCTGGTGGCAAAGTAGTTAAAACATTCGGTGGATAACCAAAGGTTGGTGGTTCAAATGCACCAGGTCCTTTGCAGGAGAAAAATGAGGCAGCCTGCTTCTGTGAAGATTCACAGCCTTGGAAACTGTATGGGGCAGTTCTACTCTGTCCAATAAGATCCCTGAGAGTCAGAATCAACATGAAGGCAGTGGGTTTGTTTTTGTTTGTTTTCTATGCCCTAGATAATTTCTGTACAATAGTGTCATTCAGCTTCAATGATGGACAGTGCTAATAGCAATTATAGTGATAAGAATAATCTCAACAATAATGACCAAACAAACCAAACTCACTGCCCTTGAATCCAATCAGACTCATAGCAACCCTTCCTTGGGTTTCCAAGGCAGTATCACTTCAGAAGTAGATTGCCCAATCTTCCTTCCGAGGAGTGGCTGGTGGCTTTGAACCACCAGCCTTCTGGTTAGCAGTCAAATGCCTTAGGCACTATGCTACCAGAGCTCCTACAATAATGACAACAGCCTTCCAATACTAAAAAGAAGAGCATCTGCTCCTGTGTTACTTTTCCCCACAAAATTTCTTTTATATTTTCATGTTACTTTGAAAATAGTTTAAGGAAAAAAAACGCATATGAGATCCTACCTTGAGAAAGTTTATGAGCCCTTGAGAAGCTTTTAACTGAGACATTTTACCTCTAAGTGAAGGTAGGAGATTACATGATTGCAGGTTCATTGTGTTGTGATCAACATGTAGTTTTACAATGTTTGTTAAACTTACCAAAGCCATGCTTTTTTTCTGTTCCACCTTCAATATCATTTACTTTAAGAGCCAAGATCCTCCCTATGCCTCTGCTCCTTAATTTCTCACCATTGATTTGACATTTTTACACAGAATTTTATTTCAACACCTAAATACTCATCAATTTGAATTTATATTTATTGTAAGACAAATGGCAGCAAAAGAAACATATTGATAAGTATAGCCATTAAATCATTTTAAGACATCTAGGACATCTTCCCATGTGATTACTAAAATGCAAATACAATGCAATATAATTCCTATTATGCTAAAATCTCCACCTTGTGGTGTTCAACATAACCTACTGCCATCAAGTAAATGCCAATTGAATATTGTAAACGGAAGGAAAAAGATTACTTTTTGCTGAAGCTTGGAATGTTGAATGAAAACTAAATTAGTCTTGGTTAGCAAATGAAAACCCAAGTGCTTACCGAATACTTGATTCATGTGTTGAAATCAGTGTTTCATATTTCATAATTTCTTCTAACATTTTCTTGAAATCCTGAGTAGCGCTGTCTATTGTATCTGTAATATGGGATCAGAGATATAAAATTACTTAAGCAATTAGAACAACAAAAGCAACAGGCTTTCATAAATTATTTTTTTCAGTCAGTAGTCTTTCATTTCTCACTTGGTCTTGTTGGTTCACTAGGATTATAGCTGATTTGGATTGATTTGATCAATTCTTTGGCTTCTGATGTTTTGTTTTCAGCTCGGTGTAATATGTCTTCCAAAGACTGCAGATCCCTGTCTACATTGGTTTGGTAAGTAGACAAGAAATCTGCAATGCCACACATAGTTGGGCAATAACTACCCTGAAAAGACAACAATAAAAGTAGTTTAAAACCCTTGGTTAAAACTACACTTAAAATTTATCAATAAAAATAAGTAAAGCTTAGGCCATCTATTTAAAAGATGTTTAAAGTGCTAAATGGCACTGGTAAGAGAATACCTTTTATTCATCTGCCCCTCTCCAGTTCAAACATAAAGCAAGAAACAGAAAAACTACTTACAAATCTTTCATCTAAGATGCAGCAGTTGTCTCTGGTAGCCACATACTAGAGGAGAAAAATACAAACATGTCACTATTTCATAATATACTTTCTTATTTTTCAGCTTTCCATTTAAAACAAATATGTTTTGTCAATAGCGCACTTACTGCCATGCATGTTGGAGACAGCAATAACAGAGTGCAGAAGCAGAGAATTAAACTCTGGGCATGCAAGGACAAAGCCATGGTGCCCGGGAGGCCCAGTGCTCCAAACGAACCCTACAGTGTCAGCTCTGTGGTGTCTCAGCGTCCACGGCCCTTTATGTAAGCTCCAAGGATGGATGGACTGCCAGTGGCTAGAGCTGATCACGGGGCTTCTTACCAGAAGGGTGGGGAAATCTTTCTTGTCTCTCTGTCTCTTTTTTTTTTTCCCCTCATCATGGCCCTTACCCTCTGCTCACCTGAATTCCCAGATTTTGCACACAGATTTAAGCTCCTCCTTTTTGGCCCAGTTCAACCTTTCTCCTCTGAAGCAAAATCATCTCCAAAGACTAGTGAAGCATTAGCCATTGTTATGAGTAAGGGAGGTGGGGAAGGCTGCCTGACGAAACCTCTTCCAGGACAGAGCTTAGAGAGCAAACACAGAGGTCTGACCTCAACCAGAACAACCTAGTTTAGGCTTAAAATGGAGCCTGGTGCCATAATCCCAATTACTAAAAAATCTCTCTTAACCCAGGGATGAGGTAATGGCAGGAGGGCTGAGAGATGGCTATGGCAAGAGGAGATTTTGCCTTCTCCTATATCCCAATTTGTCATTATTCCCTAGAAAGAATGCCATTGCTGGAAATATATTCCTGCCCTCTGGGTTAGCCATTTTCATAGGCTTTCAGTTCTTAGTGAGATTTTCAGCTCAACTCTTCGCTTTGTCTGAAGGAACCTGTTGGCATGGCACCTCATCTGCCACAGAGGGGAAATGAGCTGAGAGTCCCCTTACTTTTTTCTGATGTTCCATCTCATTGCCTTACAGAAAAGCCTGGATACAGGAGGAAGGGGCTAGAGGAATCCACCTCCCATATATCTGAATAAAAGCATAGCTAGAGCATCCTTGGTTACTGCAAAACATGTTCATCATCATCTCCTATTGATGATTTACAGTTGTGCATTACTGTTATTAACATCTTTATTTTTAGTTATTCCTCATTTCTTCCTCTGAAAACAAGATTACTACAAATTTAGATAACTATATTAGTGGCATTTGACTGCTAACCAGAAGGCTGGTGGTTCAAACCCACAAGCCACTCCTCATAAGGAAGGTTGGGCAATCTACTTCCATAGTGATACCACCTCAGAAACCCAAGGAGGGCTGGCTATGAGTCCAATCTGACTCAATGGAAGTGAGTTTTTTGTTTTTATATTAGTGAGAGAAATACATCTAGTCTGAAAGAAATGCTTCTAACAAGTTATACCAGTTGCTGTTGAGTCAACTTTGATTCACGGTGACTTCATGTGTTTCGGAGGAGAACTGTGCTCCATAGGGTTTTCAATGGCTGAGTTTTCAGAAGTAGAACACAAAGACTTTTGCCCACAGTGCCTCTCTGGTGGACTCGAATTTTCAACTTTTTGGTTAGCAGGCAAGGATGTTAGAAGTTTGCAGCATCCAGAGACTCTAATACTTTATCTAATGTTTAATTCTAAGTTTTTACAAAGGTGTATTTATGCTTTGACTTGAAAACAAAGATAAACATGCTTATTAAATAATAATTGTTGTTGCCTTTTTGCTCCCCTCCTTGACTTGCCAGCTATTGCCAACTTCATTTCCATATTATCAGCCAACTGAGAGTCTCACAGTCTTTCTCATCTTCTTTGTTCATTCATTCAGTTGTTATGAATTGGAACTGACTCCTCAGCAGTGAATTGTTTTTTTTTTTTTTTTTTTAGTTGTTTGTCAAAGGTTATTATTAAAGCTATTTTTACAATGTTAATTCCTCTCACTTTTTATTTCCACTGTCAGCATTCTAAAAGAAGATTTCTTGTGTAAACTATTTATGTAGACTGTTCTCCCTGCTTCCACTCCATTCATTTCATGCTCCAAACCATTTCTCACACTGACAAATTAATTTCCTCCAGTGTAGCACAAGTTATGACATTCGCCTGCTCAAAAATCTTCAATGACCTCTATTTTCCATCATAATGAGTATAAATATAATAAATGTTCCTTCATTCCCTTGCTGATTTTTCCTACCTGATTTTATTTCCTACACCCTCTAGCCTAACCAAATTGAATCTCATAATATCCCTGTAATGGGTACCCACATAGCCCTACCTCTCAGATTTTACGTTTGTTTGTTTTCTTTTTTTCCATGGAGTTCCCTCTGCCTGTATTGTCATTACACACAATTCTGCCTCCCCCAGCAGCACTGACTTTCAAAATTGTACAGAATTTTAAGGCTCTCTCTCTTGGTTTCTACACCCCACAATATGAAAGAGAAAACCCTAATGGCCACCTATAGCTCTTTACTGCCATTTTTAGCAACCTCATGTTATATGTACACATACATATTCATCTCGTTAGAAGGTAAATTTATTTTTATGGCTACAACACCTAGCATAGCATTATTTAACACTCAATAAGTATTTGATGAAAATGAACTGAATTGAGCTGGAAGTTATTCTCTAAAGTTTACATCTAATTCCTCTCAAAGCTTCTAGATTGCAAAAATAAATGACTCTGGAAAGGGTAGTAATGTGGAAGTAAATGAATAATCAATCAAAAAGTAATTATAAATAAAGTAAGTGTATAAAAATGATCAGAAATCAATAGCTATCCTCTAACATGAAAAAAAGAAAACCCTAAAAATATGGTCGAATATGTAAATAGACTATATACTGGAAGGAAAATCCCACTGGTTATAATTTCAACTATATTCACACAACTAGATAAAATGCCTAGGGATAAAGTTAACAAGAAATGGGCAGGATCCATATTTTTAAGTATTTCAAGCAGTAGTTTAGGGCATAAAACATGAATTGGAAAAAGGTGAAAATGATACTTTAGTCCTAAATAAAATTTAATAAAAATGCCAATTGTTCTTTATACAATCTGAAGCTGTATTGATAGTCCAATAAAGCTATAAACAGGACTTTTTCTTCTTCTTCTTCTCCTTTTTCTTTTATTTTTTTCAAGAATAGGTAAGCTGTTTATAAAGTTCAAATGAAAAAGGAAAAAAAAGAGACAATTATCTGGGAAAATTCTAAACAAGAATGAGGGCAAAAATATAACTTAAATATTAAATCATATCATAAATATGATAATGAGACATGATTGGTAGATGGATAACTATAGTCAAGATAAACAAAAAAAATAAACCAAACTCACTGCCATCAATTCTAACTCACAGCGACCTGGTGGAATGATTGGTGAGTTTGAACCACCAACCTTCTGGTTAGCAGCCAAGTGCCTTAGGCACTGTACCTCTAGAGCGCCTTAGTCAAGCTATGTTGTTATTATGTGCTGTAGAGTAGGCTCTGACTCACAGCGACCCCTCCTTGGGTTTCCAAGGTTGTATCACTACAGAAGTAGATTGCCTAACCTTCCTTCCGAGGAATGACTGGTGGGTTTGAACCACTAGCTTTCTGGTTAGCAGTCAAGTGCCTTAGGCACTATGCTACCAAAGCTCCTAGTCAAGCTATAGGCCTAAATATATTTAGGAAAGATACCTGGGGAAAAATAAGTTGAATTCCTATCTAAGTTCTTAGCTAAAATAAATTCTTTATTAAGGAAACTTAAATATAAAAAACTCCACTAAAATACTAGAAGAAAAGTTTAAGAGAAATTGTTCATAATTTATAATAATTGTAAAACAGAACTGTAGAAAAGATTCATGAATTTTACTATATTAAAGAATTAACAAACAAAAAACCCTTTCTTATATATGAAGAGCACCAACATATTAATAAGACAAAGAAGATTTTAAAAACTCAACTAAAAAAAAAGGCAGGACGTGAGCAACAGTTTATGAAAACAAAAACACAAATGCAACTAAAACATGAAAATATGCAAAAGCTTACTCAGAGGAAGAGAAACTACATTTCATTTATCAGATAAGGAATAAAAAAGCTTGATGTATATGATGGCAAAGGTAGGAGAAATGGACATTTCCATAACATGTGAGTGGGGAAATAAATTTGTACATTTATGGGAAAGGAGTTTTGAAATATAAAAAAATTTAAAATGCACATAACCTTTTACTCATTTCTGGGAATTAATCCAGCACATACACTCACACATATGAAAAATAACATGTGTACAATATTTGCACTGATGAAAGATTGGAAACAATTTGATTGTCCATCAGTAGGTTTTGGTTAAATAAATGATTGAATATTCATACAATAGTATGCTATGTATTCCATTAAAGAATGAGGTAGCTCATCTCCTGACAGAGAACAATTTCCAAGGTGCATCATTAAGTGAAAAAAAAAGGTGTTAAAAGACAACAGAATATGTGTAAATACATGCTAACGTATCATATGCATTGACTATCATTTAAGATTACATACAGTCTATCTGTGGAGAGGTACAGGGGAGTTGGAGGTGGGAAGGGTGGTCTGAAGAACAGTGTTGGGAAAGATACTTCATTTTCTTATATACCCTTTATACTTTTAGAATATTGAACATATGCATATCACCAATCAAAAATAAAATGCAATAATCTTTCATAATGATTTATTTGTTGTGCTAGTAGTTACTTCTTGATTGTTTCTTAATTTAAATATAAAAAATGACTAAGGCATTTTCTTTGCTCTTAAAAGACAATAACCTAATTGACGAGAATATACATAATAATTGTTAAAAGCTCTGGAGTCATCTCTCTGGGTTTGAATCTCATCTCTGCACCTTAATAGCTGTGTCACTTCATATAAGTTACTTAACTATTCTGAGTTTGGGTATTCGTATTGGTAAAATTAAAATACCTACTTCACAGGATTGTTAATCTGAGTCAATGAAATAATGTACTAAGCACATTGTCTAATTCACAGAAAGTATTATGAAATTTATAAATTACAAAATGTTTTAAAATGATAATTGACATTGCATAAATATTTCATAGAAGTCAAACTATTATTGGTAGATTCTATTCATGGAGAATAATCTTTGTTGTTCTGGCTACAGAAAATTCTCTTTAATAAATCATCTTTTTTAACTAACTGCACTCTGATTCTGTAATGCTTTCTAGAGAAGAAATTACCTGGTTGTTTAATTTAGGTAGAAATTCCTTCATTCTGGAATCATGAAATGATAATGAACTGGACTCTATGCCTTGTGGAAAGGTCTATTTCCCATCAGTAGGAGTCTAAGCAATGTGCTTAGAGTAGAACTTTGGTCAT